ATAGTAGGCCAAAAACTCCTTTCTAAGGAGAGGCTTATGTCCAGCAGTGGACTATTAAAGGCTGTTGATGATGATTGATGAAGAGGCAAACGCAGAGATTCATGGACACTTGATGTAAAGCGAATTTTGCCGCCCACGGACACCTGTATCCAGTAGGGTCACAATTCTTTGCCGCCGTATATCTTTACGCCGTAAGCTGTGGGAAATACATGTAGTACTTATTACAAAAGCGTCAAAAATAAGTAATACAATATATTAATTCTGTTTCCATTTCCAACAAATCTATTTAGCTTCTCCTAAAATAATTATTACGCAATGTCCCTTTCCTATCGTTGCCCTTCCTTCTTATCCTATTCCTTTACCTTACCTTACCTTTCCTTCCAATACACTCTTATTTTATCCCATCGTATCCCTAAAGTGCCCGGTTATCGCCTTGCCTTTATATTATTATTATTATAAATATTGTTATATGTAAATGTGCTTTGTTACGTATATCGAGGAGCTCGCGGTTGAGTGGTAAGCGAGTAGATTAACGAAGTTAAGCAATCTGAGCCAGGTCAGCATTCTTAATTATTCTTATTTATAAATAAATTATAATTATTCTTAATTATCCTATCCCGATCTTATTTTAGGTTTCAAATTAAAATTAAATGATTTAGATTTTAAGTATTTAATTATATTTAAATATACATTGTAATGGAAAATTGTTATGATTTTATTTATTATTTAAACATCTGTGGCAACGAATAGTTGGAGAACTAAAAAGTCCAACAACAGTCATTTCTACAGAACTTCAGTATCGCCTAGTACTTGGGTTGTGGAGATCTGATGGCAGTCACTCCGCTTAAAAAATCAAATTTCAGCCATGTCATAGTAGCCTTAAAGCTGACCCCAACCTAGTTTGGAAAATGGCGGTTGGTTTCAGCAAGGGTACGTCTAATTTTTTTAAAGACAACTCCCGCATTAGGATTATATTACTTGGCCTGGGTTACTATACAACATACATGAAACGGACACAAAGAACATCCAGACTCAGAACAACAATTTGTGGATGGACACAAAGTGTCTTCCCACGATACTCAGCGGCGAGGCGACCACTTAAACCACTATGCCATCCGTGCAGTCAAAGTTCGTAAGTATCGTAAGACCCTTAACACTTGATAAGTTATTTTAAACGGTATATTCACCAAAATGAACTGAAGATGTGATAAAGATCATCCGAGCATGCACAGTGCCTGAACATCGGCAACTAATTCCCCATAAGAAACATGGTAAAATCTCATTTATAATAACTTATCAAGTGAAATTGACCATGTTAGCTTAAACCCTCACAATTGCATAGACGCTGTTCTTTTTAATAAGCAGTGCCGATCAGTGACGACAGAAGCGTTTTATCCGCACATAAGTGGAAAAACACAACACACAAAAATATATTTTATACTTATTTGTAATTTAAACAGAGTCAGAAGTAAATTTTGATGCTTTTTGTTTTGTTCATTTTTCCCAAATACGTATAATATAACCACAACATGTTATGAATATATTTATAGAGGTATTTTATGTGGGAACCTCCTTTGTTTTTAAATTTTAGTTTCTTACAAGATTTTTGTAAAAAAATTGATGTGCCCGATAAGTTCGTATAAATCTTTTATTTTAATTTCTTGGACAATTTGTTACTTTATTTAATTGATTATAAAAATAATATATTTTATTATAATTTTAATAATAATTTATATTATAATAATAATTATAATGTATTTTAATTTTTATAAGTATTTAAAAACCTCTGCCACATTGCGCCGACCCAAAAAAAAATTGGTTAAAGAAAAAAGATGATGATGACTAATTAAGTAAAAGAGCAAAAAAGAGGATTAACTAACATTAGATATTATTTTTTAGATAATTACATTCTGCACGGATGGCGATAGCGGTTGCTACGCCGCTCACTACTACGCTCACTACGACGCTGAGTGTTGTGGGTCCGATCCCCACATGGGACGACACTTTGTGTGATCCACAAATTATTTTTCTGAGTCTGGGTGTTCTTTGTGTCCGTTTCATGTATATTTGTAAAGTCCCCCGAGACACAGGACATATTCCTAAAGCTAGAGTTGTCTTTTAAAAAAATGCGCAAGTTATTTATTTTTAATTATTAATTTCTATAATTTTAATGTATTGCATATTTTTATGCATAAAATGCAGAAGATACCATTCTTTTAAATGATGAATGTGTTGTACTGAAACCAATTCATTTACACGAATTTGTATCGCAAACCGAAAGACGATTATAAATCATCCTTTAAGTAAATACAACCGACTTCAGTTATTCCAAAACTATTAATATTTATTTTTTACTTTTTAGTTCGATTTTAATACGTTTTCGATATAACGTTAGTCGACACGTATCTAGTCTAGTGCATCGCCGTCGGTACAAAATAGTCCCGCCCAGTGTCACGTGTAAACCGTTACCTATAACTGCAATATTTTTAATGGTGCACAATCCAATTTGGTACAATAGCCTCGACACAGCTGTGACGTAATTCGCTTTTGTGCTATACAATGCTATATAGAATACTTACCCGAGTATTCAGTGAATAAAACTGCCTTTGTAAAGTATCAAAAGTGTGCACCTTGAATGTTCAGTGAATAAAATGAATGTTAAATGCTTTGTTAAACATATTATAAGTAAGAAAAGGGAGATAAATATTTTTATTTTTTTTTGTATTTATTTCTTTAAGCACAAACACGAATTGTACAATGGCGGACTTAATTCCAAAGCCATTTTCTCCCTGTCTACGAAAAAAATAATTGAGAAGTTAGACAAAAACAATGAGATAAATATACCTAATACATACAAATACATAAATACTTACTTAGTTACATGCATACATACGTACCAAATACATACACATACAGAAATACTTACTTAGTTACATGCATACATACGTACCAAATACATACACATACAGAAATACTTACTTAGTTACATGTATACATACGTACCAAAATACATACACATACATAAATACTTAGTTACATGCATACATACGTACCAAATATATACACATACATAAATATTTAGTTACATGCATACATACGAACCAAATACATACACATACATAAATACTTAGTTACATGCATACATACGTACCAAATATATACACATACATAAATACTTAGTTACATGCATACATACGAACCAAATACATACACATACATAAATACTTAGTTACATGCATACATACGTACCAAATATATACACATACATAATTACTTAGTTACATGCATACATACGAACCAAATACATACACATATATAAATACTTAGTCACATGAATACACACGTACCATTAATATTATTTAACGGGAATTAACGCGATCTCTTATAATCTAATCTTATAATATAATATAAGAGATCGCGTTAATTCCCGTTAAATAATATTAATTATCATGGAACGCGAAAGTTTAAAAGTTAGTACACACGTACCAAATACATACACATACATAAATACTTAGTTACATACATACACTTACCTATTTATAAAAATATATAAAACTTTAAGGTTGTAATGAATCTGCTAGAGAGTCCAGAATGCGAGTTTGAACTTTCATCTTGAATAACAGGCGGCTGGCATTTCATCTTCATCATCATCATCATCATGGCATTTAGTATTATTATTAGTGGAACTCTTACCTAATTATTTTCATAGCTGAATTTAATTGGCGGCATTTTGTTGTCTTAGTCCTGAATCAATAAAAGTGATGATGATTGAAATGAATTATTGTCATACTGCCATGGAGGTCATAGATACCATGCAATATTTAATGTTAAACATAAGAAAACAACATTAAAATACAAATCATTTATTTATTACAATTAAAACCATTACCAGGTATGGTACCACGGCCTCACAGAAAATCGGTATTCAGCTATTTTCCATTGCTTTTCACGGAGTGAGTCTACGGAGTCAAAACAGTCTCTTCGCCAAATTGAGCCACTCAAGTTTCACCTATCTATGGGTCACGGTAGTCATTTACCATTAGGTCACGCTCGTTTGCCACCAATTAAATAAAAAAAATACTATAATATTTCTAACTACACGTCCTTAATTTTTGTAATCTGTCTGTCTGTATGTCTATCTATTAAATCTTCAAGCTTAAACCGCTGAACCGATTTAGATAAAATTTAAAATGGAAATAGTTCGATTCCCGGGAAAGGATATAGGATAGTTTTTATCCCATAAATCGTCCTTTAGGAAGTTGAAAAGGGGGGTGGAAGTTTTCATGGGAAATCAACAACTACTATACCGATTTAGATAAACTTTGGGTTGGTAATAGTTTGATTTTTGAGAAAGGACTTAGGTTACTTTTTACCGACATACACGCGGGCGGAGCCGCGGGCAAAAGCTAGTTATAAATAAATTACATATGCAAAAGAATTCTTCCAAAAATATAATCATTCAAACAGGTTGTAGAAAATTATAAAAACATGAAGTCAACAAAAAATAAATCCTTGAGTAAATTAATTACAAATAATTATTATTTGCTTTAACATCACCCCGCAACTTATACAATTACATATTATTATTATAATATTATATTCCTTTACACAACTTATCGCACTTTTGTACAAAGTCGGACTTAATGGCATTCTCTTGTCATTAAGTCCGTCTTTGTACAAAAGTCCATAGAGTGCTGTAGGTATCTTGTAAGATGCACAGAGGTTCCATATGCAATAAGAATAGTATTTATGGTGTACCAATATGATATTATGTTCATAAGGCCAAATGCTATGAATACCAGAATATAAAGTGGTGTATGTATATACATATATATGTATTTCAGGTATACATGCAATTATGAATTCTGACTAGGTACCTTAGTGAGGTTTGATTTCACTCATGAGTGGAATTATCATCATTAAGATTAAATGGAACTATTTCTGAGTATCTCAATAACAAATAAGTTAATTTGATCACATATTTGTTGTCAATCGTAGACTTAGAGCTGGGTTCTGTCACATGTAGGAGGAAGATTATCTGTTGATTTTGTTTTTTTATTGTTAGGCAAAGACAGGCAGGCTACACCAGACACTGAAATGAGATAAATAACAAACGGTCTTTTATCTATTAACATTTAAAAAGTCAAAAATCTATACAATTAAATAAAATTGGTGTCTTTTGTAATGTCTAAATAATAGGTTTTTTTTCATACTCACATAGTTATTCGCACGATTCATGTACCTAAAAAGCAGTTTTAATTTTTGTTGTCTGTCTGTCCATCTGTCGGTTTGTTCCGGGTAATCTTCAAAACGGCTAGACAGTTTTGATAATATTTTACTACCTGCTGTCTATAGCCGTCTATATAAGGTGTAACTAGGGCTATTTTTCTCTAAAATTCTGTCCGTCCCGGGAATCGAACCCAAGGCCTCATGGACTGCAGTCGCGTACCGTACTACACCACTAAGGCAACGCTTTTCAAATTCCTGTTAGTAATAAATAAAATAAGTAAGTCACAGTTATATTTTGCTAAATATTATATTATGCATATCGTAAGTTTATATAAATATACTAGCTAGTACCCGCAACTTCGTTCGCGTGGAATTTAAAAAACGCGCCCTTAGTGGGTCAGATGCCCGGACCGGGCAAAATTTTAAAGGGTTTTTCTAAGAGGAAAAAGAGCCTAAGTTTTTGCTTATGTAGACAGCTACCTGGTAGTAAAATACTATCGAAATCGGTCCAGTCGACAGACCAAAAAAAAACTGGTTTTTAGGCATAGGTATCGTGCAAATTACCGTGTGAGCATGAAAAAAAAACTATAATTTTGACATTACAAGCAGACACTTCAATTTAATTTATTTGTATAGATTATTATAAAAATACTTGTTCTTTACTCACCAATCAGTAGGCCACCAAACAAGTAGAATCCAGCACCGCAATTGACCTCGAGAAACAAACCAATCAGATTGGACCCGACCATTGAACCAGTACGGCCTATCATCATAGATAAACACACGCCCATAGCCCTGCGGGACATAATGCATCATCAGCAGAGTTATGGGACAAATCTATCAAATTCAAATACATGTTATCATTAGTTAAAGTTTATTATTCATTGTAAGACACACTTTCTGTCAACTTCTTAGTTGAGCTGTTCTCTGTAGGCTTTATATTAAACCAAATTGTTACAATACTGTATGATACAAAGGATCTTAGCATCCAGAATGTAAAATTCTTTTAAACGTGTGAACTGTCTGGCATGTTCCCGCTTTGTTTTTTAAATGATATATTTACTTCCAGTTATATTTGAATAATAAGATATTTTCAAGATGTAAAATTATTTGACATAACTATAATTTCGTCAATAGAGAAACTGCATCGGGATTTTGCCTTTTATTGACGTTCAATGATTAGATTCTATTTACCATAAACTTGAAAACCAGAAGTTGAAAAGTGAAACAGCAATATATTTAATTTTAAAAAAAATACCTGTACTTAGTTGGAAATAATTCCACGGAAACAGCATTCATCAATCCTATACACGCGCCAGACATTTGAAATATAGCAAACAATGTAACTGCCACTTGCACTTGTGGCGTTACGTGGGCACCAATGCCACATAGCCCAGTAATCGTTAGGGTAGCTAGGAGGATGTACTTCTTAGCCACAAAGTTCACGACGATTGCAACGATAATATACATGGTGAAGAACGTGAGGCCAATGTAGATTGAGCGGAGAAAGGTAGAGATGTAGATGGAGTCATCGCAAATGGCCTGAAATTAGAACAATCATCAGTATCCGGTTAAAATGTTAAACAATATAGAAATGTCAACATAGAAAAGACTAATAAAAAAAAGTTATTTGGTAAAAAAAACTACAATACGATACGATTACAAGACGACGACAATAAATCTACTAATAATCAGATGCTGAGAATTGATTCACTTCAAAATTATTGAAAATTTCTGAGATCAGTTTTGAAATGTGTTTATTTTTTAACTTAAACAGTTTTTGTACAGTTTATATCTTTTAAAGCAGCACACAAAATTGAATGCTACAAAAATATTAGTAAATAAAAAAAAAAACTTTTGCATACGTATAAGTTTTTTTTTAAAAAGACAACTGCCGCACTAGGATAAATCCTGTGTTGGGGACTTCACAAACAAACATGAAATGGACACATAGGACACCCAGACTCAAAACAACAATTTATGGATCAAAAAAGTATTGTCACATGTGGGGATCGAACCCACAACACTCAGCGCAGTAGGAAGTGACCGCTTAAACCACTACGCCATCCGTTCTGTCCGAACAAGATATTTATTTATTTACCGTAGTATTGGAAGCAGCCGCAGCTTCAATGGTAGCCTTCCTGGTGGCATCAAGGACATCGCAAATTCTCATGTTGGCAGAATCGTTACTTCTTAATGAGTTTAAAATTGTTGGAAACCAGATGTAGAAGCCATTGGTTCTGCAAATTAAAATTTATGTAAGTAGTCTACATTATTACAGTCCAGATATCTCATACAATTAACTTGCGCTGATCATGACTATGTCAAAGTCACAGTTCAATTGGGAAAACTACCACACGATATGGGTCGCAAAACTTTAAAATGTATATACATTTTCGATATAGGTAAAACTCACGCAGCAAAAATTCCAAATTGAACAAAACAAGCGAGAGAAATCCACTTCAATAACGGTGGTTTGAGTAAGGGCAGAGTCTGTTCCTTCATCGATGTCAGTATCCCTCTTTTTGCATATGCCGTGGTTGCATCTTCTAAAATTAGCGTCTTGACCTAAAATTTACATTATTTTCATTATTTATCAAAACACGAATTGCACACTTAACGTTAACTTTGTCTACAGTTAATATTACAAGATTGCTGTGAAATTATTAATACGTATTGAAAATAACTATTCAAGGCCACTGTGTAATAATAATTTAGAAATAAGATTTTTTATACAACTCCAACAACAAATTAATATGAAATACTTAGCGTTATACGTAGTTAAACAAGTTACAGCTAAGCGAGAAACGAACACACAGTAATTGCAGTTTAATATTTGCTGCCGATAAATATCATACATTATATTTAAACGCTTGTTTTAACTAATCATAGATAATGAGAAAGGATTGCTGCAATGGTTAGATGGTATGTTGAAAGGATGGTTTATTCCCAGTAGTTCCATATAGCCAGTTCCACATGGTACTGATCTAACCTTAAAAATTTTATACTACTTTTACAGCTGACATTAATTAAATAAAAATTATTTTATTTTTAAACTTTTCTATTCAAAATACCAAAAGAAAGTCTGGAAAAACTACTGAACGTTAGAAAAACAAATGACTATCTACACATATAATAAAATTGTAAGAGAGGTGATATTGTACATGAGAAATAAATAAAAAAATTCGCACAGGGGGTCTTCGTAGATGTGATATATGAAGAAATGTGATTTTTTCAATTCTTGTCTGTCTGTCAGTTGTGTGCGTTTCACGGAAAACCGCTAGACGAATTTGAATGAAACTTTGGATTTAGGTTAATCATAGTCCTGTGTAGCATATAGGATACATTTTACCACGCTGTTACTCAAACGAACTGGCCAGCAAGTATTTGGCGTTTGTATGAAAAGTCGATTTTCGTGCTACCATGGATATGAATCCCTGATTAATCTGGAATAGATTAATCAGGGACTGAAAATATTTTTTTTTGTAACACAAGAAAACAGCTAAAAGGGTTTCAAGTCCTATACAAAAAGCTATATTACTAGAACATCATGGAACTACTGAATGTAATTTGCCGGTTCGGAAAGCTAGTCCCGCAGTAGTTCCATGTATAGAACTAGTGGATTGCGAAAGTTCCATATGGAACTGGCTATAAAGAACTACTGGGAATAAACCGAAAGGATAGGTGAAAACGAATGAATAAAGGGGCTTATTTGACTGCTATGAGTGGGTGATCCGGAGCAGGACCGGAGTGCCAAGATTATATACTAGTAAAATCTGCAGTATGCTGAAGAAAGGAATAGTGGTTCATCCGTAAGCGATAAGCGTGAAAAGAGAGCACAACTTGTAAATAATGATCGTGGCAATAAAACACCTTTAAAGCTATTGCATAGCTTCTATCGCGGGCCTTGAGCGTAAAGACCGAATCCAGAAATTCCGTAACGAAAATAACCTAACACCCGCAACTCCGACCGGCACAGCGGTGATACTTTTTAGTTTTGCCATCTATCGATGAATAGCAGAACTTTTAATGACTTTTTTGAAATATCACGCTTGTCTCTTTAGTTCAGCAACTCGCCTCTAGGTGGCATTGGTTATGACGTGGTATTTTCCAGATATTTAGAAGATATCAAGTCTCAAACTTATGTTTCTTATTTCAGTTACCATAAACCTATAGTTTCAATGAAAAATATTCCTGAACAACCTACATGTATTGTAAGATAATAAAAATATTTTGAACAATATTAACTTCTCATTTATTTAATAAAAGAAAAAAAAATGTTTTCTTATCGGTCACCACGCTCAAAAAGTGTAACTTGAATTAATATCAAAGAAAAAAAAACAAAGGAAAAAAAACTGCATAAATAAATAATTATAATTGCATAAGTTGATAAAAAATGCAATGTAATAGCTTTACCGCGGCAGTCCCCGAGTACCACACGTCTTTTTTTGTCTATCTACCTCGGACGCGACTAAATCGTGATATTATATGTATATTTAACTAAAAAACCTTACCGGAAAACTTTCTCTAGACCTTCTAGTGTTGATAACGTAAATATTTTTTACGACTTCCAAAGCTTCTTCATGCCGTCCAGTAACAAAGAGGAACTTCGGAGTTTCAGAAGCGAATAATAACAACACCGTTCCAATGGCAAATGGTGCTGCGGTGGCCACTACCAGTAGCCTCCATGACCGGTAAGTAATATTTAAGACTGGAATCGTATGCGAGATTTCTAATGGCAGAATTAGCCAAGCCAGACCTGAAATATAGTTGTATTTCAATATTTTGCATATTATAATTATTGTTGTATCAAGTACTTAGATGAAACAATAAAAAAAGTGATTTCAAACAAATTTTATACATTAATTAAAATCTCTTTTCTCAATCTTGTTTCTAACATTTAAATTAATTAATATTAATAATTAATTTAAATTTCATAAAAATATTTACTTTTTAACACTGTTTCAAGACAATTTTATTTAAATTGTTGTTGTTTATTGACATCGTCAGTATGAATTTAAACAAATGGCAGAATATGTATTTAAAATTAAACTATAATTTATTTTTAAAATCCATTGTAACTTCTCATTTAATATTTAAATATTTTCCAGTACTTATAAGTGTTATTATACTTAGTAAAAATGCGACATTAGCATGCGGTTTAAATTAACTAAATAAAAAAACTAATTGGACTGGTGATGTCGATATTTACACGGTAAAACGATTGTTCCTATCCCAATGAACGAAGACCCGACCGTCATCATCTTGTCTCTGTGGCGAATATTGTTGAATTCGCCAAGATATGTGTACACGATCGATGATGAACCCGCCATACTGCAAATTTAAAACCCATACATTATGTGATAAATACTAACATATTTGAATAGGAGTGGCCTGACTCGAGCGGGAATGACTCCAAGGGCAGCAACGCACTTGTGACTTTTGAGTTGCAGGCGCCCATGGGCGGCGGTAGTTGCTTACCATCAGGTGACCCGTCTGCTCGTTTGCCCCCTTATACCATAAAAAAGGGAGTTACGGCATTTGGCAAACAGACATTGCTCCAGCTTGTATAATTATGTCAGTAAGGCCCAATTCCTAAGGTTGAGTTTAGAACTGAATATTTCAAAGGAGGAAAACCTACCCCAAATACCCTAAGCATCAACGTTTTCCAGGTCAAAAATACCAGGTTTATCTACCTGGCTGAATCCATGACGAAACAATAGGACTGACTATCCTAGCATTCCAACCCACCTCTCCTCTAGTGAAACGCACCGCCTTTGTAAATATTAATAAATATTTGATTAAGTGCGAGTTGCAAGATTTATACGTATCTATCATATCCTAAGGTTAACCTTATCATCATAATTAAGTAACATATTTTTCCCTACAATATACAATTTTAATTAGCCATAATTTAAAAAAATCCTCTTAATTTTCGGCTTTAAATTTAGGAGGTAGGATATAGAATGGCCAATTTTCATCAATTCAAAGTTTGAATATTTGAAACACTCACGATAAATTCTGTCATGAAGTATGAAGTTAAGTGACGACACAACGCTACAATCGGAAATATCTGTAATTTATTCTATGCCGTAATTATTTACGTAATTAATACAATTATATATGATGATTACATTCGTAAAGAGTGAGCGTATACATACATATACATAATTAAAGTAGTAAAAATTTAACTCTTAATTTATTTTTCATTTATTTATTTTACATGAAAAAGGGGGCAAATGAACAGACGGGTCACCTGATGGACCGCCACCCATGAACGCCTAAAATCCAGAAGTCACAAGCGCGTTGCCGGCCTTTGAGGAAGGAGTACGCTCCTTCTTTAAAGGTTTGTAGGTCGCATTGGTCCGGAAATATCGCAGACAATAACTTGTTCCACAGATTGATTGGTTGGTTTTAAACACAATGCACCTGTCTCTTCATAACATTACCTACCTAAAATCAGTAACCTCTTTCTCAGAATATAGAGAAGGTGCTTTACCGCTTTTATTGATAATAGGGTGGAGGAATGGGTTTTATGTCCCTCCAATACAAAGCAAGGATCCTCCAACCAGGCGACGTGAACATTGCTGATCATGTTAGGAAGTCGTATTTATGCTAATCGGCGCGAATCCTTTAATTGTGCGTCAGTTCATAGATCAGTGTGTTTGTTAGATGTTATTGAAACGTTTTTAATTGTATACTAGCTGTTGCCAGCGCCTCCGCCCGCGTGTATGTCGATTTTCGCGGTACCCTATGTACTTTCTTAACAATCAAACTATCACCATACCAAATTTCATTCGAATCGGTTCCGCGGTTACTGATTTTAAAATACAAATTTCTACACCCCTTTTCATCCTCTTAAGGGATGATTTCTGAGATAAAAACTATCCCATGTTCTTTCCCGGGACTCAAACTATCTTTTTACCAATTTTTATCGAAATCGGTTCAGCGGTTTAAGCGTGAAGAGGTAACAGACAGGCAGACACTTTTTTTTTTTTTTTCCGTGCGGAAATCCCCTCGGATACCACCTGTCGGTGGCATGTCGGACTCGAACCGACTAAAACCGCACGCCTTCGCCGGGTACTAATAGCCGGGGAACCAGGTATACCCTAGAAAGGAAGGCCCTGGTGCCCCGACATACCTCGGGTCATCTACAGACGAGTAGACGACCCCCGCCCCGTGTGGGAACCCCATGTTCCCTGTGCTCCCTGGAAGCGAGCGCGCTTCGCAACGCGCTCGCCGCCACCCCGGCCTGCTTCTGCTAGGGTGACAGATGGCCTCACCTGTCACCCCCAGGCCTGCGCTTATGGAGGACGGAGGTCGTTCTGCGACCTCCGGCGCCTGAGTCGCCTGCGCTGCCTGGCCCGTGCCCGGGCCTGGCGGGCCGGGAGAGTTCTAAACCTCTCCCGGTCCCGCTCCGCCGTCTCCTTCGCGAGCATAACTTGCTCGCAGAAGGAGACGGCAGAGTTCCACGCACTCTCGCTCCGCACGATAGCCGCAATCAGGCTATCGAGCGAGAGAACTCCCACTCCGATGGCCGCCACGAGGTCTCGCCTCTGCTCGACCCACGCCGGGCACTCTGCCAGCGTGTGGAGAGCCGTGTCCACGGTCTGGCCATCGCAGTGGTGGCACTCAGGCGTTGGCTCCTTGCGGATCAGACACAGGTGATCTCCGAAACATCCCTTCCCAGTGATCACCTGCGTCAATCGGTATGAGAGGGTCCCGTGACGCCTCTCGAGCCAATCCTCCATAACGGGTCTTACCGCCGCAATGACGGCGTGCCCAGCGCTCGGTTGCCCGAGTCGTTCCCTCCACTCCCCTATGATGACCTGGCGGAGTTGGGATTTCCGGTCATCGATTTCTCGAATCCCAGGGCATCGACCCAACTCCTGCGCCTCCTTGCGCCACTGATACAGTGCCGCAAGGGCTCTCGCCTCCAGGTCCCACGGTGGAGTTCCGGCCAGGAGACTCGCTGCCTCAAAGGAGATCGTGCGGTACCCCCTTATGATCCTGATGGCCAGCATTCGCTGCGGTCGTCGCAGTATCGCGACGTTGCTGGCCTTCAGGGCCCCCGTCCATACCGGGCACCCGTAAAGGGCCATGGACCGCACAAACCCCGAGTAGAGTCTCCTGCAGGAGTCATCGGGTCCCTTCATGTTGGGCAGCAGCCGCGCCAACGCACGCGCTGCCCCAACCAAGCACCTGTGGTTTTCTTCACTGTTACTGTGTTTACATGAACTGTAACCTTGTGCCATGAATAAATAAATAAAAATAAAAAAATTGACACAATAGTATCGCTTATTTTTAATAGTAAAGTATTCCTACAACACGTATTCATCAAAGCAAAATAATGTTTATAATTTGACTTTTTTATTACTATTATAAATGCAACAGTTTCGATGAGTGTTTGTTATTAAGTCACGCCAGAACGGCTGAAGGGATCTGAATGATATTAGAAACATTAACATGAACGAAGCCATAGGTAAAAGCTAATTTTATAATATATCATTCATTGCCTCTTTAATAACTGTTGTTTCTGTAATAACGAGTCGTTGGCACTTCTACTTCATAACAGGACCTCAATTCTGCTATTTATGTTCACACCAAGCCACTGTCATACCACTGACACGCTATTGAGATGCCATCGAGTGGCCATTGGCTTCAGTATAAATATCGGTAGTCTACACTAACTCAGTGTCTTTACAGTGGCGATGGAATGGCAGTGGCTCATCAGTGGTGATATCAAAAAGATTGTCATATTTGGAAAAATAAATAAATCATTTTCTCAAAAAAACGTAATTTATTTTCAAATTATAAGGAAATGATTTATTTATTTATACCGATGCCAATTGCCACTCGATGGCATCTCAATAGCGTGTCAGTGGTATGACAGTGGCTTGGCGTGAACATAAAATATCAGAATTAAGGCCCAGGTCGCAGACACTGGCCCTAAGAGCTGACTTTTTCACTTTATTACAACTTACAATATAGAAGACAGGAACTGCAGAACTGCAAACGATATTAGTTCTGGTGCAAAACTGACGATAATTGATAGTATTGTAGAGCCGGTCATTGAATATAGCATTACTGATCTTCTCCCCTGCGTATCACCGCACCATCCCCAAAAGTATGATGTCAAAATTATAGCTGTAAGAACAAAAATTTAGGTTCAATAACCCATGAACCTTGAAGTATTACTATGGCGCTGTATTTCTCCTGGTGAACAGGATCATCACTTGATAGTCTTTTGACGGAGTTGTGACAAAAAAAATTGCTGTGACAAATAGGTTGTGTATAAAATGTCTTTTTAATCTTCTATATACTATTAAAAGGTATTGTTACTGGCAATGCGTTAAAGTGGCTTCAATTTTATAGTCAAATTTTAGTCTTTCATGAATACTGTTAAAATTATAATGTTACCTGCAAAGGGTATAGCAGAAAGCCATCCTTTTTGTTGTGTTGTAAGTTCCAAATCACATTGAGCTGCCGGTATCACGTAACCCAGTACTAAACATTGCATTATCATACCCATCAGAACCAAACCTGACATCAACATGTGAAGGATGTTGTAGATCCCGAACCCTGGAAGAATGAGAAGGATAATTATCTTCGTGACGCTGAAAAGGGCTGTGAATACCTAAGCATAGTAATGTTATTGTAATTCTTTGGGGCAGAAATTCAAAGAAATAACATAAATAAGTACAGTGTGTTTATGAGAACTTGGTTTATCATCATAATAATAAGTTCTGTTCTTTTAATACGCACGATAAATATACCTAAGGGTTATACCTGCTTTTAAGCTGAATAAGTCCTTTAATAATAATAAAATTTAATTCATATTGTTACAATGAAGGACCCTGATTCCTGTGCTAGGTTACAACCTGTGTTACAGGAAACAGTGTTTTCACTCATTTTGTTGTATCAACTATACAATAAGAATACAGAGACAAGAGTGTGTGTATGTGTCTTTCAAGGTCCATATAAATGTTAAGTAAATGTGCAAATTTTAACGTCAATAAAACATATTTGAATCCATAGTAAAATGGCGACTGAGCCTTAAAAACTTGTTAGTAAATTCCATGGAGAATAATAATAATTGTTGGGATTGAATTATTTTTGCATTTAGTCACACTATTTATTTCAAATACTAATTTAAATATACATGAGCTAATACATTATTATTTTCCGTATTGTTTGTTTCCTTTTATGTATTTTTTCTTATCTTTAGTTTCCCTATTTTTTCATGCTTAAAAATATTTTATTTACTTTTAATTTAATAACCAAATAGCGCACAATGGTGCAATACAATTGTAATACTAAATTTTCCTTCCTAAAATTCGATTCGGTTTCGATATCGACACTAACATAATGACAACATTTTTGTTGGGTTTTGCTTGTCGGTTTCCATACTCATTGCTATAACCCGGCAATCTCGTGCGCCACCGTCCCGCGGGGTGACAGACAGAGGCGGTGGCGAGGTAGCGCGTCATTCTAGCACACGGCTACACACGATTCCCTTCCCCGCCACACCACCCGCTACCCGCTGACATCTTGAGTACCTCGTCCCCGCCACCATCTGTCACCCCGCAGGACGGTCGCGCACGACGTTGATGGACTATAGAGCATAGAATAACTCCGTCTTTATCTTAAGTATTTAGTTATGAAAAAAACATGAATAAAACTTATATATTGGAGAACTCTTTAATAAGTTTTTGGTACGTCAGTTTATAGGATGGGATTATTTAAATGACTATAAATTACCTGATAAAAGCATTGCGTCATCTAAAGAGACTGAAGTCTGAGATTTCTTTGTATTTTTGTCCATCGAACTTGGATTAGCCATTTTGTAGATCTGTAATTGTACAAAAAAATATATAATTGCTGTGTTCTTTTTTATGTTAGAGGGGACAGGCGAGCAGACGGGTCACCTGATAGAAAGTGACGAACGCCGCACATGAACGTCTTCAACTCAGGAGTCATAAACGCGTTGCCGGCCTTTTAGGAAGGAGTACGCTCTTTTCTTGAAGGTTTGAGGGTATTGGCTTAGTCTTTTGAGTACTAAATCGTAGACGGGAGATCAATTGGTTAGTTAACTCTAAAATAGACTTATTCTTCTTGTGCTTCTTATATTGCTATTGTTATATATAAGTGTGTTACAAACACTTATAGTATTCGAAATATATTTTTGTATATATGTCATCTCCATCGTTTAAATGCACTGCACGGATGGCGTAGTTTTTTAAGCGGTCGCCACACCGCTTCCTACTGCGCCGAGTGTTGTGGGTTCAAACCCCACATGGGACGACACTCTGTGTTATGCACAAATTGTTGCTCTGAGTCTGGGTGTACTTTGTGTCAGTTTCTTGAATGTTTGTAAAGTCCTCCGTGCTACAGGATTTATTCCTAGTGCGGGAGTTGTCTTTTAAACAAAGCAAAAATAATAAACCAAGCAATGCCTTTTAACTTTTTTTTTCTTTTTTGGGGTTTGCGTATTGTGTATGTGTGAAAAAAGTTTGGGCTAGTTTCTTTTATTTGTATAAATGTTACAGTTTCCAGACGGGGCAATAGAATGGCGTAAGTTAAGGTAAGAAAAATGTATTAGGTAAGGGAGCTAGTAGTAGTAACAAATACCGAAAGCTGTAGAGTGTAAACCGGGACTTAGGGTGCAGTAGATTTAAAAGACCAGCGTCACGTATTCATATAACCATACTGTGATTGCAAAGACCAGACAGGGACATCAGCTGGAATTATTGTAAACACGCGCATAAATTGAGGTAAATTACATATTTACATTTAGAGATAACTTCATACGTGTAATGGTAAATATTTACGTTAAATTTTTAAGACTTTGAGTGCAAGAAGGCTTTAAAAATAAGTATATTATCCTAGCACTTTTGAAAACAATAACTAGCAACATCTATCATGCGACCTTATGTGCAGTTCGGCACTTGGCATCTTTTGATATATTATAGCGCATGTGAGTAGTTGCCGCCTAGTCTATAATTTAAGTATCTTTAAAATTACTTTCAAATTTTACTTAAAGTTGAGTTTTGAATTGTTTGGATGTAAATCTGGTATCATAAAGGGGAAGTCATTAATTTAAAGATCGTCAGGGTAGAATATATGTAGATTGAGGAGTGTGTGACCTGTGATGACATATTGTGCCTAGATCTAAATACTCAATACGCTGAAGATGCAATTGAATGCCTACACTGTTCGCATAACCAATAACCACTGAGGTTATGGAGGAATCTGGAGAAATGTAGTGTGGGACATCCTACGGAAAGATGGATTGTGTAATTTGGTACGATTACACGCAAATGCTTAAGCTCTACTCCTAAACCATCTCAATATAGTTAACTTAGTTCGTCAATAAGAAATAGACCCATGAAAAAGAAATAATGCAGCTGTTAATCGTTGCGATTTCAAATTTTGGGGGCAAAATTTATGCAATGTTTTAGCTTTATACCTATTAACCACAACTTCTCAATGTACTTCCTCTTTATGAACAATAAAAGAGGTTTCTGTGTATTTTGAATATTCTAATTGTTACTAATTATAATTTTAAATAAAGTCTATATCTGTGTGTGAGTTTTCAAGCCCCGGAATAACAATAGTATCCTTCTTAAATCAGTTCTGTTATTTTCCTAGAAATGAAAACTTATTACTGATTTAAACTTTGGGACACAGTTATGAAGTTGTTTTATACATCCTTCTTTTTTTAAGACAATTCCCGCACTAGGAATAAAACATACATGAAACGGACACAAAAAACACCCAGACTCAGAACAACAATTTGTGGATCACACAAAGTATCCTCCCATGTGACGATTGAACCCACAGCACTCAGCGTAGTAGTATGCGGCGTGACGACCGCTTAAACCACTACGCCATCCGTGCAGTCTTACTCCAGTATTGTTCTCAAAGTTTCCGTAGTTTTACAATTAAATTAAGATGATAGATTCTGTTATCGCCACTGATTAAAATTTCAATATAATTGGAATATCTACCTGAAACGATTCTCCTAATTTTACAATTTAATGAGGTTCTTCAATAACTACTTTTGAAGATTTTCATCATCATCATCAACATTAGTCTCATCATCATATTAGTCAACTGCTGGACATAAGCCTCTTCTTAGAAAGGAGGTTTTGGCCTACTATACCACGCTGGCCAGACGGGTTGGTATAGGGTTTGTGTCAAGTTTTCCTTCTCTCTGTAGTGCTAGGTATACGACACCCACGGGATGAATAGAATTCAAGATTCTAATTGTTACTAATTGTAATTTCAACTTTGGAGAATGGTTTTGATCCTAATTTTAACATTATGTTTGAGAAAATTCACAAGCTTCATACTCATTCCAGCAACTTTCTCCTCTTTTCTTTCTCCAGTTTTACCAAAAAATATAGTTATTGAATAGACAATCACAAATGTTGTGAAATTATAATAAACTATGGAAAATAGTTATCACAGTATTTATTCTTATTACACCATCACATATCCTCTGAAAAGTTATTTTTTTGCGTTAATAATCTCAGTCTCCCAAACACGTACAACCAGGCATCGGTTGATCAAACATTTCACACGAATTTCTCAGAGTTGTGAAATATTTACAATATAAGACAACTTTATTTTCATAAAGCAGAGTTCACAAATGGTAACAAAATTTTTGAAAATTTTAATAAGAGTAAAAGTTGATTTAAATAATGATTGATAATGATAAATTAGCAATGTAGCCACAAAAATACTTTAAATAGATTATTAATTATTTAAAACTACATCGGATTACAAAGCCAATATTCAAAAGACGATACCAATCTATATTCTCTTACGGCTTAAATCCCAATGCACAATTTCTTGAAGATACAAATTTAACTGTAGAAAAAATTAAAGTTTTACTATTATGAAACCAAATAAATACATACCAGTATTTGTTCACTTTATATGTATATCTCTAATCACTGCACATTTGTCTGGGGCACTTTTGACTTTATTATTAAACAAAGAGGCCTTAATTCATGAGAATCTTCGTTAATACTGAAGTCGTCTAGCGGAACGTAATATAAGATCCTTGAACATTAGAATGCGGATTAATACTATTCTGGCAAACTAAATTGCGAACTATTTACGTTTCTTGCCGAAAAATACTATATTTTATTGTTTAATGGCATTTTACGGCGATACCGTAATGGCAAAGGAGAAACACTTTAGGTAATACAGTTGCAGTTCTGGAGCCGTACATGAAATAAACCCACTCGTAACAAGCTCTGCCTAGTTTAAGATCAAACAACCGAATGTGAGACGTGTTATTTTCAAGTAATGTTGTCATTTAGTTGGGAAGGTTGAAAATTATACAAGTACTGCGAGGTTTATCATTTCTTGTTTTACTGATACTGACTACTAGTGGCATAGTTGTACTAATTACTAATTTAGTCAATTATCATAGTGGCATAGTTAATTAACATTAGTCAAGTCATTAACATTTGTCAACCGACTTTTATATGTTCCAATTTTTTGTTGTGTTTGCCATTTGTGATTTGTGACCCGATTTTAATTATATATTGTTTCAATATTTTGGTCTGACTAAAGATAGATCCCATTTAATATGTTGTTATGCAATTTTTAACCGACTTCGAAAAAGAGATGACTTTTTTGTGTTTGTTACCATTTTTAGGGTTCCGTACCTCAAAAGGTAAAAAAGGAACCCTTTTTTATCTTATAGATCACTTTCTTGTCCGTCTGTCCGTGTGTCACCACCGATTTTCAAAGGAAGGGGTAGACCTAGTAAGTTGAAATTTATACCAGCTACTGAGGTCTATGGTCCCTATTAGGTGTATAAAAATCAAGGTCCTAAATCAACACGATGAAAAGATATGGGCAAATTTCGATTTTCACGAAAACTTGAAAGTACCAAAATTTACCTTAATATTAAAAAAAAATATTTTTCAGAATTTTCTCTTTACTTGTGCTGTAAGACCTTGCTTTTAACCAAAATTGACAATTCTTGGTCAACCGGAAGTCCCCTATAGGGTTTGGGTCGAAAACCTATATGGTAGTTCCCGTTGAACTAGAATCACGAAAGAACAATGGCAGAAACATATTTACCTAAAACTGAAGCGTTTAAAAAATTGACTAACAGTAAACTTACTAAATATTTTTTCTATGATTTATCATTATACCGCCATTTGTTGTATAAGTCTAATAAGAGATTGGATATTTTTAAAGATTTTATTTGACCTAAGTACGTAATGTCAGAATCGCCATCACGAACTGTCTAGGGATGCGTGATGATATTATTTTATTATGGAACGTTTTATCGATAATCGATTGTTATAACTTTGGCTTGAAATATCTATCGAAAGTTCACCTATTATGATTATGAATTTGCTTCTGCCAACGGGTTTACTCAAACGCTACCGTAACTAGTACTATAGTGACTAAATCAACCTAATTAGAAATAATTTAGAATATTTTTGACTCTGTTTGAAGATTTTTGCTATACCAAAATAAATAGAATATAGTTACGTTATTTTCCTACAGAAAAATACTAAAACAATATACTGCTTAGTGTGATGAGAAAAAGACATTGTAGGTTGATAACGGCACATAAATAGACATACATCGATATTTTTAAAATGTCGACACGTCGTCGTCGCACTTACTGGTCTTGTCGTTTGACACTTACACGCATGACTTACATACCATTTCTCACAAGGCAATTGTAGTTTGTTTGGTTGTTTTACTTTTGTTTAGTATTAAACTCTCATATATGTTTATTTTTATTGACGCGACAACGTCTTATAATTCGATGGAGCCGGCTGCACGCACGAAAAAACATGACTCATGCGGCGTTACCTCGCTCTGAGGCGTTCCATTTTTACAGACAACCGATTTTTTTTCGGTCGGCTAACACTTTCTACAGCAAAATAGGGTTGCTTATAAGTAATAATAATGATGAATAATATTTTCGAATATATGACACACAACGCCATCTAGTTTCAAACAAAACAATGACAATATTTAGTACTTAACCTCGAAACATTCAAAATCCAATATCTGTTTTCCTAGACTTCTTTCGCTAGTTTTTTTTATGAGAATGTTCAAGAATAAATTCTCAAGGGTTATAGGCATTTTTGATATTTAAACGCTGTCATTTCACTTCGAATAAAATTATGTATGGGGACCTGCCATAGTCCTTTGGCAAAAAGAAACATCTTACAGCACAAATAAAGGAAGAATTCCAAACAATTAAAAATAAAAGTTGAAAATTAAGAAAAATTTTGGTACTCACAAATTTTCGCGAAAATCTAAGTAAAATCTGGGTAGGTATGGAACCCTTGGCACACGAGTTCGACTCGTACCTGACCGCCTTTTTTTGGTTGTGTTTGCAATTTTTTTCAATGAATTGGTCTTACTGAACCTAGATCCCATTTAATATATAAGAAAGTGTTCCATCATTCTAATTATGCACATTAAGGACTGGAATCTACATACTGGAATTTATCATGATCTAGACATATTAAAGTCAGTGACACTATTTTATTAAGATTTTTTTTAAATAAACTTTTCTACAAAATCACAACCTACTTCAAACACTATCTAACTTATTCCAACACTAAAAAATAATAATCATTTTAATTATTCTTTATTTTAACTGAATCATTGTATTTTATAAATTGAAATGTATGCAAACTCATTTAAAATATTTTATTACACACTTACAAAGAGATACGAATTCCGTGTCTTGATTTTGAAAAAATAACAGATTTTCTTCGTGAAACAGCTATGTACTTAAATACTTAACACTCAAATGATAAGGCTATAAGGTTATCTAAACAATAATTATATAAAACTTGATAAGAGAAAGTTGGTCCCGTAAAACAATTTTGCTACGATTATTTTACGATACGCGACTAAGGGAGCAAACTACGCAGGACAACTGCACTGCAGAGAGAAGGAAAACTTGACACAAACCCTTTCTTTTTTTTTTTTCTTTTTTTTTTTTTTAACGTGTGGAAATCCCCTCGGACCGTCACCCCACCGGGGTTTGCGGCGGGGTGGTGTGTCTTGACTTGAACTTGACACAAACCCTATACCAACCCGTCTGGCCAGCGTGGTGTAGTAGGCCAAAACCTCCTTTCTAAGGAGAGGCCTATGTTCAGCAGTGGACTGTTATAGGCTGTTGATGAATGATGATGATATTTTAAGATATTACACCATGAAATCCCCAAGCCGTGAAATCATTTAAATAAATAGCAACGCTTGTTTTGAAACATGAAAGTGAAATTCAGGTCGCACATACGAATCAACTACAGTATTTCACACAGGAGTTGCTTCTCTGTCTATAGCATAGTTCTTATTTCTTCCGGTAATGTTAAGTTTGTATTTCTTTACTTCTTGGTGTCCTGTGGAAGTTCTGCCATACAAGATATAATTTAAGAAGCTTGGACAAAATTAACTTAACAATAAAGTCCTTACTATTCATTTTGTCTAAATAACTCTAAAATCTTCTTATCAAATCGTACGATACAATTTTAAGTACACATACTTTTATCACTTTCCTCTGCTCTTAAACGAAAATTTAAATCTAAATTAGTAGTTAGTTTACGTAATTCAAAAATAAATATATATACTGTTAGCAACAACAGTTCACGAACTGATACTAATTAAAAATGGTGTTGCGTTTAAAATTACAATTCGTAGTACCATCACTAAATACTAGCCGCCCGATTGGCAGCGGTCATCGAATATCATGGTCAGTTGCAACTACAAGCCTTTATATCAAAGTCTGTCAAAACTCTGCAAAACGTATCTTGAATCTTGTTTTTCGGATTTTCGGAAGCTCCCAAGCTTATGAGGAAAAGACCTAAATTAACTACACGTAAATTAACTCAATTGAGAATCAATTTACCTTTCCTTATTTGTCAGATTACAGGACAAGTATGTTGATCTCTTCAATTAAGTCAGGATCTTACTTACGTTCTAATTGTAGTGTTACTTCCAAGAAATTTTAGAGTGTTCAAGCTAAATCTCAATTTGTGTCGGGCAAATCGATTACTGTCTATGCCATGCTAGTTTTATTTTCATTGTCAAGACTTTGTGCAAATTTTGCTCTGCAAATTTGGTACACAGTACTTACTACTTCATTTATAGTAAACAACAGGGTTATGATTTTTATTTGCGCTTAAAGCTTTTCGGTACAGGTATTGGGAGCAGCGATGTAGGTCAGAGCGTTTCGAATCCTGTTTTACAGATCGATATATCAAAATATCGTTCTATAACAGATCCCACTTTTGAAGTTATTAGAATCTCTTAATCTTCAGAAAATATATTTTTTTTTTTTTTAAATGTATAGTTAAAGAGTTCGTGTAATAATGAAGAGGTTTAACATAAAAGGAATAATCCATATATTAAAAATGCAGAAGTGTGTCTGTCTGTCAGTTACCTCTTCATGCTTAAACCGCTGAATAGATTTCGATGAAATTTGTTATAGAGATAGTTTGATTTGATAGTTTTTATCCCAGAAAGCATCTTTTAATGGGGGTGAAAGGGGGCTGGTAAAAGTTTGTATGGGAAAATCAATAACCGCTGAAACGATTCAGATGAAATTCGGTATGGAGATGGCTTGATACTTGAGAAAGAACATGGGTTATGGCCGCGATAACTAACCTCCGCCGCGATAACAAGCGATCGGAGCCGCGGGTAAAAGCTAGTTTTTGATAAATATATAAGCGATACCGCATAAATAAGGGCTATTGGAGAAGCCAAAGCAACTAGCAGCTTGACCAGATTCGAGCAGAGTACTTGTTTGCCAACTTGTTTGAAAATCCACATAGGTAGTTATGGGTTGTGTGTAGTGTGGTACAAAAACAAGTTTTTAACTAACAGCGTAGTCGAACTTTTTCCACACACCAAATGCGTATTTAGTTTGTTTGAAAGTTTCTGTCTAGTGTTAAAGTTAAACAGGATATAATCTGTCTGCAAACACTTTACAGCTTGCAAAAGTATTTTATTTCGAAACAGAATAGGAGTAAAATAATGGTTATTTTAAAACTAAAACATAGTAAAATAAAGAAATATACTTATTATTGTGCACAAAACAAAGCATAATTTACATATCGTACATCCGTATCCGAATACTATCCGTGTGGTGACGGATTAAGAATACAGAGTGTCACCGCCCCTATTCATCCCGTGGGTATCGTAAGAGACGACAACTATAAGATCACTGCAGAGAGAAGGAAAACTTGACACAAACCCTATACCAACCCGTTTCACCAGCGTGGTAAAGCCTCCCTTCTAAGGAGAGGCCTATGTCCCGCAGTGGACTATTAAAGGCTGTTGATGATGATGATGATGACATACGTATCTACATACTAACTAAAATTTTATATAATCGTCGACCTTATTGCCATTTGCTATCGCTTCCAGATGTCCATTGCATTCGATGGGTAGAAGAACATCAGTGATAAGAGAGGCTGCAGTTTACAATATAAAAAGTAAATATATATGTACTATTTAAAGATGTTCATTGTATATGATAACAAGAACACACACACATATATTCATAAGCATAATGAGTAATGATAATGCTTGAATAATGATAAGAGTCTGATGATCGTATTAGGTAGTGAATTTTAGGGAAACAGATAATTTGTATAAGAATAAGATAATGTGGTTTGTGGTTTCCACAAGGCAATTTGCTAAGTTTTAATGCCAAAAAACTTTGAAAGGACGCATTACCTCATGTGACTCGTTGCACGATAATAAAAAGTACTTTTCTGAAAGGATGAATTTTGTGCTTGAACATAAATAATCCATAAACTTAAACTCTCTAAATTTCATAAAAAAAAAACAAATCGTATTGTACTAGTATGTAGACTTTAAAGATCTACAACCGCCCGTTTCCAAGGGGTTGAGCCTTATGAGAAGAAAGCAAACAAACTCATTGCCACTCTTTTGTAATTTACAGATAGATACAATGGCATTATTAAATATACTACAACATTGTTTTGGTGTGTGCCAGTATGTCCGTTATTAAGGACTAAAAGGTAAAAAAACAATACAGAGAAAACAAGATTAAGAAGCACTATTAAAAGCAGCTTTAAGTTTATCCTTAAAGTTTTCACAACGCTTTGCGGTTTTAGGTATCACCACAGTTCTTTTATCTGCCACCTTTTCATACCTATCACAGAAAGATACTAAGTGATTTGTGTAGGCTCCAAGAACAAGTTCTTCAGATTGTATGATTGAAAGAGTGCCTTGAACTTAGTTACTACACCTACTTGAATTTTCCAATAGGTTAATATTAATGTCACCACAGATATTGACCGTCTTTTTTGATCTTGTTACTTGAACTAATACTTCATCCATAACATCTTCAAAACAATCATACATTGTGAAGGAGGTCTGTACATACATACTATGAAACCTTTTAGTTCTATACAGGCTATTTCTGTAATTCGCTCAACCGATAAACTAACAATGTCATGACCCTCTTTAAACTTGAGTTGCTTATTAATGACATGGTGGCACTATGATAAGTGCCACAATGTATTGCTGTACTTCTGCTGAACGAGCTGCCTACCTGGTAGTGATCAAAATTGAACATGAACTAATCATGAAAAAAATATCAATCGCACTGCAGTTCATGAACAATTCCACTTCTAAGTCTTTGCCCATCATTCCTCTAATAATATATCGTAATAAGTTGAAACTGTTTAAGAAAATTAATTTATTTATATGGTTTCACTGTTATAAGTTATGTTGCAAATATGGAATAAATACATAGTGTAATTATCTATAATATGTACGCACTTATGCAAAAATTAAGTACTACTCTGTCAAGAAAGTACCGGGAAAAGATCAATAATAT